CAGACAGACAGATAGATAGATAGATAGATAGATGATAGGTAGATAGATAGATGGATAGAATATATAGGATTGCTATGAGGATTAAATTAGGAGAGATTCCCCATGCATAAATTTTCATAATAAATAAAAAATAAATGTACTTTATTTGGTTCATATTTATATAGTTTATTATAAACTGCCCCTCCCAGAGTCCCCACACGGCCCATTTTGGATGCAGGTTGACTAGGCCACACCCACCATGGCCACGCCCACGCCCACCCAGCAACTGGGCACAGAAACCCTTGCTAAAATTTTTGAAGCCCACCCCTGGTGCCAACCTAATTTTATTTTGACCTTGGGAGGTATATTTATTCAGGATTTGGTTCTCAGTAGCAATAGCTGAAGCTTGGATATTTCACTCAACCAACGGTTTTAAATCCAGGACTGTCTGTACTGCTTCTATCAAAGCTCACAGACCTTCCAATTTAATCCCCTTCCTGTTTTAAGTTCAGTTCCATGATGTCCTAATTGGGTTTTCCGATGCCAGTGCTTCGGAGCCAGGCTGGCAGCGTTCATGCAAAGACGGCCATCTTGGGAGAACCCTAAGCAGGGGGATTTCTATGTAAATGCTGCCCCTTCCCCCCCCCCCCCATTGCTCACCACCAGCAATTCAAAAAGAAGATTTTGTTCTTTGATTGCATAGCACAAATAGGGTTAAAACTGCAGGAAATCTCGAGTGTAAAGAGGACTGAAGTGGAATGCCTAGAGTGAAGCAGAAATATTCTGCACTGCAACATTTTCTCAAAAGTCCCATTTCTGTCGGATGTTGGCCAACTGTTTCTAACTTCATTGCAGATTTCCAAAAGAGGATTTTATTGGCTGGCCTCATCCAGTTAGTCACTTGCAAATGACTTTTTAAGACCACACTAAGGGGCAAAAAAAAAAAAACCAACCTCCAATGAATGGAAACTATCTAGGCTTACCAACAGCCACTATATTTTTAACTGACTTAAATAGTAATAGCACGTAGGTTTATATGGCACACTCCATTGTGCTTTACAGCACTCTCTAAGCGGTTTACAGAGTCAGCCTACTGCCCCCAACAATCTGGGTCCTCGTTTTACTGAGCTCGGAAGGACGGAAGGCTGAGTCAACTTTGAGTGAACTGGTCAGGATCAAACTCCAGGCCTTGGGCAGAGTTAGCCGGCGATACCGCATTCTAACCACTGTGCCACCACGGATCTTTTAAAATCTATTGTGAGCCAGTTTGATGTTAATGGTTAAGGCATCAAACTAGAAACTAGGAAACTGTGAATTCTAGTCCTGCGTTAAGCATGAAGCTAGCTGGGTAATCTTGGGCCAGTTAGTCTCTCTTAGCCCTAGGAAGGAGGCAATGGCAGACCACTTTTGAAATTTTATCAAGAAAACTGCTGGGATTTGTCTGGGCAATCATCAGGAATCAAGATTGATTGGCAGACACACACACAAGTTAAATCTATTAGGCAAATGAAGCCATTGTATTTCAGTAGCTGTTGTTACATCCAGGCAAGAAAACATTGCCAATGTCAAGCCAAAAGTAGAGTAGAGACCTACCAGCACCTTTAGATCTTTTAAAGATAGTCATGTATCTTTTGACTGGAGTGGCGCTGTGGCCTAGAGGTGGAGCTCTCGCCACACAATAAGGAGGCCGTGAGTTCAATCCTAGGTAGAGGCAGATATTTCTCTGAGCACACTGAGAATATATCTGCTGAACAAAACTCCGCATTGGCGACAGGAAAGGCATCTGGGCATTAAAACACACTGCTAGCTCCATTCAGTTGCCCAGACTTGTGGGGTCCTGGTCCTGTTAGATCTCTCAGCGGCTTTTGATACCATCGACCATGGTATCATGCTGCACCGGTTGGAAGAGTTGGGGGTGGGAGGCACCGTACTAAGTTGGTTCTCCTCCTTTCTCTCCGACCGGTCGCAGTCTGTGTTGACAGGGGGGCAGAGGTCGACCCCGAGGCCCCTCATATGTGGGGTGCCGCAGGGATCGGTCCTCTCGCCCCTTTTGTTCAACATTTATGTAAAGCCGCTGGGTGAGATCATCCGTGGTTTTGGGGTGAAGTACCATCAGTACGCGGATGACACCCAGCTGTACATCTTCACCCCGGACCACCCCAACGATGCCCTTGAAGTGATGTCCCAGTGCCTGGAGGCCGTACGGATCTGGATGGGGAGGAACAGGCTCAGGCTCAACCCATCCATGACCGAGTGGCTGTGGTTTCCGACGTCCCGATATAGTCAGCTAGTGCCATCGCTGACTATTGGGGGCGAATCATTGGCCCCCACGGATAGGGCTCGCAACTTGGGTGTCCTCCTGGATTCACGGCTGTCGTTAGAAGAGCATGTGACGGCCGTGTCCGGGAGGATTTTTCATCAGGTTCGCCTGATCTGCCAGTTGCGTCCCTATCTAGATCGGGACTCCCTACACACAGTCACTCATGCCCTCGTTACTTCTCGTCTGGACTACTGCAACGCTCTCTACATGGGGCTCTCCTTGAGGTGCACTCGGAGGCTCCAACTGGCGCAGAGTGCGGCCGCGCGGGTGGTGATGGGAGCGACATGGAGTTCCCATGTGACACCTCTCCTGCGCGAGCTGCACTGGCTCCCGGTGGTCTTCCGAGTGCGCTTCAAGGTTCTGGTTATCACCTTTAAAGCGCTCCATGGCTTAGGACCTGGTTATTTACGGGACCACCTGCTACCACCAATAGCCTCCCACCGGCCAGTACGCTCCCATAGAGAGGGGCTCCTCCGGGTGCCGTCGGCCAAACAATGTCGGCTGTCGGCCCCTAGGGGGAGAGCCTTCTCTGTGGGGGCACCTACGATTTGGAACGAGCTCCCCCCGGAGATTCGTAGGATCCCGGATCTGCGCACCTTCCGCCGCGCGCTTAAGACTTTTCTATTTTATCAAGCTGGCCTGGCCTAAATCTTCCCCCTTTTTAAATGTGGAAATTTTAAATTTTTAAATTTTAAATTCGTCTTATTTATAGGGGTATGGGTAAGGCGTTTTAAATTGGGGAGCCATTTTAGATTTAATTCTGTTTTAAACGTATTTTAATTGTTTATATTGTATGTTTTTAATTTTGGCTGTTCACCGCCCCGAGTCCTTCGGGAGAGGGGGCGGTATAAAAATCTAATAAATAAAATAAAATAATAAATAATAAAGAAGATGATGATGTATCTTTTGACTAGATATTGACTGGATCCTTGTATGGATGCAACAACAGCTAGTAAAACAGAATAGCAATACTGTATTTTCCTAATGTAAGCTTGGAGTTTAAAGCAATATTTCTCAACCTTGGCTACTTGAAGATATGTGGACTTCAGCTCCCCGAATTCCCCAGACAGTTTAATGTATTGTGTGAATCCACCCTGCTGAAATTAGAGAACTTAATTTTTAAACATTGTACAGTAGTTCATATTTGGATGGATAACCAACATACCTGGGCTTCAACAGGTCGGTTGAAAACCTAGGATTGATTTGCACGGCTTGCAAATCTTGATGAATTTGAACCTTGGGAAGATTTTACAGTACTAGCCCAGTGTTCTGAATTAGTTTCTAATTCAATGATCAGCATGAACCTAGCAGAGGGGCCAATTCAGTAAATTAGTCAAAATCGTTATATGAACTTGTTCATTGAATGGGCTTAATATTCTGGGAGGAATGGAGAACTGCAGCAAGCAACCCTGCCTTTTATTTATTAATTAAACGAATTTATATTAACTGCCCGACTCAGACACAGTGACACACACATCTCAAACACACATGAGGTTAAACCTATTTTAGGACTTACAGTTATGTTCCCACTTTGTTGTATGGTGAGAAAACGGCTGTTGGTTTTTGACAATCACAGTCAGAAATTTAGCCCGTGAGCTCCTAAACTCAACAATACTGAGAGGCTCAGAGGCTCCACTGTGAAATCTTGTTTAGCTCCTTTGATCAAATGGAAGTAATTTAAGGTGCATGGCAGAAGTGTTAAAAGAATTTGTTGCATTATTTTATGTATTGTTTTTAGAAATGTATTTATTTATTTATCAAATGACCGTCCATCTTATAAGAATATCTAAGACTAAAAGGTAAAGGTAAAGGTTTCCCTCGCACATATGTGCTAGTTGTTCCCGACTCTAGGGGGCGGTGCTCATCTCTGTTTCAAAGCCGAAGAGCCAGCGCTGTCCGAAGACGTCTCCGTGGTCATGTGGCCAGCATGACTCAATGCCAAAGGCGCATGGAACACTGTTACCTTCCCACCAAAGGTGGTCCCTGTTTTTCTACTTGCATTTTTTATGTGCTTTCGAACTGCTAGGTTGGCAGAAGCTGGGACAAGTCACGGGAGCTCACCCCATTATGCGGCACTAGGGATTCGAACCGCTGAACTGCCGACCTTTCGATCCGCAAGCTCAGCCTCTTAGCCACTGAGCCACCACGTCCCTACTATCTAACACTACTGAATATCTAATGTTGATTTCCCCACTAGTTTTGAGGAATTGGCTGCTTTTGGCACGTCATATTGTGTTTGCTCATTCTTTTTTGTGTAGAGATTGGCCAGAGTCTCGTCGAGAGAGTAATGGAGCATTGCTGATAGATGAATGGATTGAATGATGAATGAGATTAAATATTGCAATAGTGTTGCCCTAAGGGCAGAGCTGCGATTTGAATCTGTGGACAGGTAGATTATGTGCTTTGTTTATGTGCTTGATTCTGGGGAATCAAGAAAATTGAAGAGATATGAGAAACTAATGAATCCAACCAGATATGATTAACTCCAGTGCCACCTAGCTACTAACCGATGGTATGGCACTATCCATGCAAAGCAGATGAATGAACCCAGAAGAATGGCGTTTAAGCCAAAGTTTGTAGCAAAGTATAAGGAATGACTTCACCCAATCAATACTCAACCAAAACAAAGTTATTGAAATAAAATATTCAGCGGCTTTGCCTGGTCACTGTATTTTGACTCTCTGCTCTCTTTACTCCTCAGAGACCAGCCAGCCCGTCGATCCCTTCACTTATGGTGAGTGGTGTTAATGGAAAAGTTGCAGATAATGGTCCACATGGATGGAAGGAGGTTTGGAGTTTCTTTCTTCAAGAAATGGGGAAAAAATGTGGTATGGCTTGAGGCAATGGATGGGCAATCCAGGGTGTTCCTGATAGGAATATGCTGGAATGGTCAGGAACATCTGACTTAAAAAAAAAGTTTGATTGATTTTCTATTGTTTACATTTTGTTATGCTTAATAAACACCGTGTTGTCTGGGTTATTTTATTCGCTTAGCAGTACAGATTACATTCTTATTCTCCACCCCTTTTTTCCAACCACTGGTAGAAAAAGTTCCACTTATTCTACCAATGGTTGGATAATATTCTGTAATATTCTGTAATCAGAATATTGATAATATTGAGTATCGTCTTTCTGTTCAATCTTCAATGTGAGTCTGTCCTTTTCTGCACAATCCAGTATCTTCCTAATTATCTCTTTGCCTCGTGGTATTTTTTTTTCTTTTTGATTTGATTTATATGCCGCCCTTCTCTGGAGACTCAGGGCGGCTTACAATGCGTTAAGCAATAGCCTTCATACTTTTGTATATTTTTTATACAAAGTCAGCTTATTGCCCCCACAGACTGGGTCCTCATTTAACCTACCTTAGAAAGGATGGAAGGTTGAGTCAACCTTGAGCCTGGTGAGATTTGAACTTTGCAGTAATTGCAGGCAGCTGATGTTAATAACAGTGCTTTAGTCTGCTGCGCTACCAGGGATCTACCATTGTACCATTTCTTCATGTTTCCAATATTGTGCAAATATAAACCTCACTGCCATTAATACATGTAATATTAAATATATATATTTCGTTTATCAAGTTTTTCTGGCATTATACCAGAGGTGGGTTTCAGCAGGTTCTGACCAGTTCTGGAGAACCGGTAGTGGAAATTTTGAGTAGTTCGGAGAACCGGTAGTAAAACCTCTGACTGCCCCCCCCCATCTATTCTCTTCCTCCCAAGTCCCAGCTGTTTGGGAGGAAATGGGGATTTTGCAGTATCCTTCCCCTGCCACGCCAACCAAGCCATGCCACACCCACCAAGCTACACCCACAGAACCGGTAGTAAAATTTTTTGAAACCCACCACTGCGTTATACCTAATAGAAAAAAGTCCAAGTTTAAAATCGACATGTTCTCCTATCATCTTTTCACAAACACCTGACTTTTGAATCTCCCTGTTTCCCCTTACAGACTATGAAACGTTGCGCTGGGTGGGGATGATCCTGGCCTCCATCATGTTTGTGCTGGGAATCTTGATAGCACTGAGTGAGTCACTTTCTTTTTGATGCCTGCATCTTTTATGCATGCTTGGATCTGACTTTGATTGGCCCCTAGAAATCCCATCCTTTCTTCTTCTCTCTTTCCTAACTCCTGGATTCCTTGGGAAAAGATCCTACTTTGTATATGTACATACGGGCAGGGGTGGGCTGCTGGGGGTTCGCAGGGGTTCGAGAGAACTTCTAGCTAAGATTCTGTGCAGTTCGGAGAACCCCCAAATCCCACTCCTGGCTGGCCCCGCCCCACCTCGCCCACCCCGCCCCTCCCAGGAGTCCCCACGCGGCCCATTTTAGATGCAGGTAAGTGTAGGGCGCATGTGGAGGCTTGGGGAGGGTGAAAAACGGGCCTACCGGAAGTTCAGGGAAGCTGGAAATGGGCCCGTTTCTGGCCTCCAGAGGGCCTCCAGAGCCTGGGGAGGCCATTTTTGCTCTTCCGGTGGCTCAAGGAAAGCCTCCGGAGCCCGGGGGAGGGCAACCCCCCCCCACCATGGTGCAGGAGGCTGACTAGGCCACGCCTACCATGACCACGCCCACCCAGCAACCAGGCAGAAATCCCTTGCTAAAATTTTTGAAGCCCACCCCTGCATATGGGTGTGTTCATGAGTACCACTTGCAGACTTATTACTGAAATACAAAAACATTGCCCGATGCAGCATAGAGTCCGTTTCTTTTGTGTTTCTTATTAAAATAGTGCAAATGGAAAAACAAATCTTTTTCATACAATTTTTTTTTTTTTTGGCATTCTAAGTCTTCTGGTGCCCGTCTCTTCCTCCCGGAATATTCTGAAGATATGAATGTACATGCCCATGTTTATATTCCCCATCCTGGATCTCCTGATTGCATTACCTGAGCCTTGTTTTTTCCTGTCTCACTTTACCCCTTTTCTCTTTTACAGGTAAAAAACTCAGATGCAAAAAATCAGACCCTGGGTAGGTACTTTCTCCTTCCTTCCTTCCTTCCTTCCTTCCTTCCTTCCTTCCTTCCTTCCTTCCTTCCTTCCTTCCTTCCTTCCTTCCATCCATCCATCCATCCATCCATCCATCCATCCATCCATCCTTCCTCAACCAAGTTCTGTTACCCCCAAAATCAGGGGTGAAATTCAGAGGTTCCGATAGATTCTGGAGAACCGGTAGCGGAAATTTTGAGTAGTTCGGAGAACCGGCAAATACCACCTCTGGCTGGCCCCAGAGTAGGGTGATAATGGAGATCTTGCAATATCCTTCCCCCAGGAGTGGGGAGGGAATGGGGATTTTGCAATATCCTTTCCCTGCCACACCCACCAAGCCACGCCCACAGAACCAGTAGTAAAAAAAATTGAATTCCACCACTGCCCTGAAATATTCTTCCCTTCTTGCCTATCTTCACTGATTTCTTTTGTGTTTCTTCTCTTCTGCAGAATGTCAGATCCCAGGGCGACAGGGAAAAGCCCCAGTAAGTATTGCAACGTTGTGGGGAGAGGAAGGCTCACCGACCTGCTTGTATAACTCTGCATAATTTTACCTGAGGTTGTGTTAATATTGTATGTTTAGCCTGGATCTTGACTCAGTGCAGAACTAACCACAGGGGAAGCATTCATACAGCATGCCAGTTTAGCATCATATAGAAATGGTAAAGCTGTTCACCTAATTAAATATGTTGAGTGGACATCGTTCGTTCGTTCGTTCGTTCGTTCGTTCGTTCGTTCGTTTTTAAATTTATATACCGCCCTACTCCCGAAGGACTCAGGGCGGTGAACAGGCACAGAATAAAATACATAAATACAAAAGTTAGAAACAATTTAAAACCAAATTAAATAATTTAGCCCAAGACAATTAAAAACCCCATATTTTAAAACAAATTAAAATTTCAGTTTAAAAAATTAAAAAAAGGGGACATACATTAGTAAGTAAGAACATGTTTTATTGTTGCAACCATAGGTCCTAACGATGCAACACAGAATAAATACAATAGAGTAAAGTAAGAAAGGTTTTTGATACAAAGTGGTCAAAACTATGGTGAGGAATGGGAAATAAAATTCTGAATTTAAATGGCAACAAAACAAAAGTGGCAAGCTGATTAACTAACAGTTGGAAACGACACCCCTGCAAGAAGATAAGGCAACTCTTTGAAATCAGAACTGTTCGTTGCATTTACCATCAAGAATGTCGTCATAATCTCTTTTATAAATGGAGCGGTGGAGGAGGTAGTGAATAATGTTCTCCACTTGATTGGCACCACAAGGACAAAGAGGATCTTCAAGACAGAGGGTGCTCACCAAAATTCCTGTTCAAGATCTGCTGAACTGAAGCCATGGTCTGCAAGTCATTCCCAACTTATGACCACAACTGTATCCCAAATTTCTGTTGCTAAACAAAGTAGTTGTTAAGTGAATTTTTTTTGGGCCATGGTTGCTAAGCAAATTGTTCCAAATTAAATGAATCACACAGTCCTTTAGTGATTCAGGGTTCCCCCATTGACTTTGCTTGTCGGAAGCTTGCAAATAGCAATTACAAGAAGGTTACAACCATTGTAAATATATGCCAGCTGCCCAAATGCTGTGATTGGTTGTAAGTGCGAGGAATGATCATCGGTCACTTTTTCAGTGCTATTGTAACTTTGAATGGTCACTAAACGATTGGTTATAAGTTGAGGACTACCTGTAGGGCACTGGTAATATTAACCAGTTACTGGGAGAGGTTTCCACGATTGTATTAGCACCCTTATATGACATCCCTTTTAAACAATAAATAAATAAATTCTGGTAGTTTTTCTATTCCAAAAGCTGAGTTTCCCAAAACAGAGAACAGAGAACAAATATTCACTTTTTACTTGGGTGTTTTTTTTAAAAAAAAAACTTTTTAATAATTTCTGCTTAAAAGTAACCCAGGGAACCTACCTTAAACCAGCCTTTCTATTCCACAAAGACTAGATTAGGCATTCATGTTAATGTAAGGTTATCTGTTTATCATTCACTAAACTTTCTTCTTGCGGAGAAAGTCAGCCACTGCCTGGAGCTCCCACACCTGAAGTCACCTCCCACCCACCTGGAGTTACCATGGAGTTTCTTGACGTTGCCAGGAGAGCTGAAGACTCTATGGTGATGCCGTGGCAACAGATTAGCACTGTTCCTTGGGGAGCTGAGAAGCCCCTGGAGAAGAGTTGTTTGCAAAGGCTTCTAAATGGCAGGACATCTTTATCCCTGCTTAAAAGACGAGAGGTTTTGGGGGGAGCAGGAAAGATGGGATGGAATAAGGTACAGAAAAGAATGAGGGACAGAACTTTTGCCATGTACCCCAAGTCTAAATCATACGCATGAGATTTTATGCAGCTACATAAAATTAAATAATTAAAGTTACATACGTGAGCTTGAGTTACATGTATGAGTCAACAGTCAGTGCAGTACTGCAGGCTCCTGCTGCTGCCTGCCGGCTGCTGCCTGCAATTTGGCAGTTCGATTCTCACCAGGCTCAAGGTTGACTCAGCCTTCCATCCTTCCGGGGTGGGTAAAATGAGGACCCAGATTGTTGGGGGCAATAGGCTGACTCTGTAAACCGCTTAGAGAGGGCTGTAAAAGCACTGTGAAGTGGTATTTAAGTGCTATTGCTATTGCTACGAGATGGGCAGTTATGAATAAAAATAATTGAAAGGAAAGAAAAAGGAACCTGATTGGGAGAATTTTTTTAAAAAATCCTTTTTTCTGTGTTTTTTTCCCCCAGTTGATGTTGGTTAACCAAGTTTTATTCTTCTGAACTTCATTTCTCTCCCCCACTTTCTCTGAATTTTTCTGTTTTGAGGGTCCTCCCCAAACGTCCTCCCCAAGTTTCCACATATAGGTAGTCCTCAACATTTGCAATAGCACAATTGTCCCTAGAATTTCTGTCATCGAGCGGGGAGGTTGTTAAGCAAGACACGCCACGTTTTAGGAACCAAATTTTGATCTCCTGATCATGGGGGATGCTGCCTTGGGTTGTAAGTGCGAGGATCGGTTGTCAGGTACTTTTTTTTCAGTGCCATTGTGACTTTTTAAATTATTGGGGTGTTTTAATCTGTCTGGGCCAAAATGATTTAATTTGATTTTATCTGGTTTTTAAATTTTTTGTATCTATGTATTTTATTGTTTGGCTGTTCACCGCCCTGAGTCCTTCGGGAGTAGGGCGGTATACAAATCAAATAAACTAAACTAAAACTAAACTTCAAATGGCCGATAAATGAATGCTTGTAAGTTAAAGGACTGCCTGTATTATTCTATACCTTAAATACTCATCTTCATCACTTTCTCTCTCCTCTTCTTTCTCTTCCCCAGCTCCAGCTGGCACCGTGTAGACACCTTCCTGAAGATGTCCTGCTCCCGAGTGGCTGGCGATGAAACCGCACCCGGGACCTTTCTCCGGAGACCTCGGCACTGACTGCCCGGGTGGGGGAGGGGCTCTCCTGTCTAACCTCAAGGAGGGAGGGGGCACTTTTATAACCAGTTAGCTCTTGCGCTTCCATTGCATGATGGGAGCAGGCCACCTGGCTGGGGTTGGGGCACGGCACAGGCCACGGGGTGATGCAGCCCATCTGCCAGTCAGTGTCAGCTGACCCCCGACTCTACTGGGGGCTGGTCCTTATAATTCCCCCTCCCTCTCCTACACAGGGTCCCATTAAAATGCAATAATGCTGCCTGCTGCTGCTGCTGCTGCTCTCTGGGAAAACAAATCGACAAAATGCTTCCTCGCTGCTGGGGATAATATAACCCTCCATTGCTGTTGCTGCTGCTGCTGCTGCTTTGCTGTCTGAGCCTCTTGCTGTGCTGTGAACGCCATTAGCCACAAAAGTGAGGTGGCATAGTCCAAAGAGCCCCACCCCCTTGCCTTGTGGGAAACTAGCCCTTTCTTGGGAGTGGGGGGGGGGGGCCACTGTAACGGATTCCATCCCTTCTAATGGATCGGACTCCTAGAACTAGGATATAATATTACTGCCGACCACTAGAGGGCGGCCAAGCGAAGAGTTTTTCTATAGCTTGTTGCTGCCATCTAGTGGTACAGTAGGGGTTTGCAGGCCTGATCTAGGACTGTAGTCGGAGTGATGAACAAGCAAGCTAGGGAAGAATTCTTAGAAAGGGAAGGGTTGCTTTCTTGTCATAGGGTCCTCTTCTGCCAAGGGACGCTGACCCCAGCTTCTCCATGCAGTACCATCCACATCTCCATGTCGCATTCACACATGGAGAAAAATTTGACCAATCAATAAAAATCATGGTGGTTTTTTTTTTAAAACGAATCTCTTGACTCGGTGATTTATTTATTTTGACTCTGAAGAGTTCACTATTCCTTACATCCCATCTCCAGACTCTTGGGGGGGGGATGGTGAAGAAACTATGCTTGGTCTTTCCTAGCTTCCCTCATCTTATTTGTGGTGGATGGGCAGGGGTGAAATGCTACTGGTTTGGACTGGTTCGCCCGAACCGGTAGTAAAAAAAAATGCTACCAGTTTGGATGAACCAGTATTTCCAACAATCAGCTGTGCCGCGTGATTTATATTAGCTAGAAAGCAGGATATCCTCCTTTCTAGGGAATCTAAATCACGTGGCACAGCTGTTTTCTCCCCTTCTGTTCTACTTACCTTAGAAAAGGCTTCTTAATCCTCCTTTTTCAGTGCTGTGTGGTAGCGCCCGTGGTGTGCATGCACACGAAGCGCATGCCCCACAAATGCGCATGCACACCGAAATGGTAGCAAAGTGAACCAGTAGCAGACTTCGGAGCATTTCACCACTGTGGCTGGGTCTTAAGGTCATAATACTGCTAACATTTAGATATTTGCAAACCTGATTTTTATGGGAGGGAAGACGTGAAGTGATGTCGCTCATACTACTGTTGTGCGGAGAAATTGGAGCTCTTAAAAGGCAGAGACCTTTTTCAGATATTAGAAAATTTCCTCTTTCTGATAGATTCCTCCCTGTATGGAAAGCACAGCCAACATTGTGGCTGTAAAATTATGGACAGTTAGCATTTTTTGTTACTCGCCAAAGCGTCTACTACCTGTTTGGGCAAATACCCCCTCCCCCCCAACCCTACCACTTCCAAAAGTAGCCATGAATACTGATTTATTGAGAATATTTTTTCTAACATTTAGCTATAAAAAGGCCGAACAAATGTCACATAAATAAAATCAAAATACAGCGCTTCAACACTTCGTAAAATGGTGATGGCATGCTTCAAATAGCACATCACATTATAAACTCGAATCTAATGTGCTGTGAAAAACAACTGTGTCCTTCCTTCATTCAGCTTGTCTTTTTTTATTTTCCCTTCCTGCATTTGCCTGGTTTTTATTTGTGCCCCAATCGCACTATGGGAAATAAAGAACAAGGAATGGGTAATATACAGTCAATTGTGTGTGTAATTTTCAGTGACGATAAAAGGGGGGGGGGAAATGAAAGTCCCCAATAATGTGTGTCATATTTCTCAACCAGACTGTTTGTTTTTCTGAAATATATATTGCAATACAATAATAGTGTTTTGTCCTTATAGTACCTTCAGGGAGAGGGGAGGGTCATGATTTATTTATATATTGGATTCTTATCCCCACTTTATTACTGTATAAGTAACTTAAGATGACCAATATACACAATACTGCTTCCTCCTATTTTCCCTACAACAATCCTGTGAGATGGATTGGTCTGAGAGAGTAACTGGCTAAAACTAACCTAGCTGGCTTTTGCTCCTAAGGCAGAACTAGAACTCAATGTCTCCTGGTGATTGGCCCAAGGTCACCCAATCAGCTTTTCTGCCTGAGGCGGGACTAGAACTCATAGTCTGCTGGTTTCTAGGCATCTTAACCAGGGGTGAAATCCAGCAGGTTCTGACAGGTTCTGGAGAACCGGTAGCGGAAATTTTGAGTAGTCCGGAGTACTGGCAAATGCCACCTCTGGCTGGTCCCAGAGTGGGGTGGGAATGGAGATTTTGCAGTATCTTTCCCCTGGAGTGGGGTGGGAATGGAGATTTTGCAGTATCCTTCCCCTGCCACGCCCACCAAGCCACGCCCACAGAACCAGTAGTAAAAAAAATTGAATTTCACCACTGATTTTAACCACCATGCCTTACTTGCTCTACAGGTTGGTGCCATGCCATCTTGCATGGAAGGGGTCAAGGTTTGAAATGGGGAATTTGGCTTTGTTTTAAAACAATGTGTTTCTGTTTTTAAAATGGAAGGAAACTACCTTCAAATCAGGGGTGGGCTGCTGGGGGTACGCAGGGGTTAGGGAGAACCTCTAGCTAAGATTCTGTGCAGTTTGGAGAACCCCCAAATCCCACTCCTGGCTGGCCCCGCCCACCCCACCCCTCCCAGGAGTTCCCACACGGCCCGCTTTGGATGCAGGTAAGTGCAGGGGGTGCGGGGAGGCTTGGGGAGGGTGAAAAACGGGCCTACCGGAAGTTCAGGAAGAGGGCCAGAGGGCCTCCGGAACCTGGGGAGGCCATTTTCACCCTCCCAAAGGCTCGAGGAAAACCCTTTGGAGCCCGGGGAGGGCAAAACCGGTCCTCCCGCCATGGTTCAGGAGGCCAACTAGGCCACGCCCACCATGGCCACGCCCACCCAGCAACTGGGCAGAGAACCCCTTGCTAAAATTTTCGAAGCCCACCCCTGCTCCAAATCATACTACAGCTTTATGAAGGAGATTGACCAGACATCCGGTATAATAAATAAAACCTAATCAAATACAATAGGGAAACATTCAGGAAACCTTTAATTTAAAATTTAACAATGAAGTCTTCACACTGATGCACATTGAAGTCTACTTCTTGATTTGGACATCGATGACATGGATTTCAAAGAATTACTTAAGGCAAATCTAAGGCTTTTCACGTCCAGTTTTCTTTCTTTCCTTGCTATGTATCTTTTCGCGTTAAATGGTACCCAATAGATTATTAAAGTACGAAATCATTTAGCTTAAGTTAGTACTTAGGCTTCCTTGTTCCTTCTTCCATCCTTTTTTCTTTCTCTTTGTATTATGCCTTTTGGATTTTAAACTTTTAAATAAGGATTATCTCACTAACTCATTGTGGAATATAAGCCTTTGGGAATAAGGTGCTCAGAATAAATTAACTAACCTTCCTCAAGCAGGTGCCCTTCAGGTGTATAGAACTTCAAATCTTGTAACACCTGAAGTAGGACCAGTGAGAATATCAGCACAACACATCTGCCAGATTAAAGAAAGCTGCTGAATTTAATGAAATAGCCATTAGAACTGGATATAGTGAAGGGAGGCTGAGGAATCCATAAATCCTTGTCACTCAAAACTTAATGCTTCTATATTTGGTGAATAGTTTGGTGAGATATTATTCCAAACTATTTTTTACTGATATAATGCCAGCCTGCCGACTTTACTCCTTGCTCACCAGAATGTGGACTTCCAAGCTGGGTTGCTTGGATTAAAATGACTGACTAAAATGTTTAAAAGTAGAAAGAAAAGCCTGGAACTCCACTTCCCATGATGCCAGCCAACTTGCCCCCTCAAGTTGTCCTGCGCTGGGTTGGAAGTATTTTGAGGCTCATGCAAAGTGTAGGGCAGTGCTGGGAGAATTGTGGTGCCAGACTGCCCCTTCTCCATGGGTCTTTTCAGACCCCATTGCTCTGTTCCCTGCCTTCCCAGCGCCCGAGGCTGCTGCCATCCATTAAGGCAGTGTTCTGCCCCAGCTTTGGATTCCCAGAGAATGTGACACACACCAAGCTTCGCAAACACTGTTTAATTCCAAACAAACCCCTTTCAAGAATGCAGGCTTCCCATGCAAAGGGTCCTTATCAAAGTTATTAAGAACAAAGTCCGACAAAGGTTGGCAACCAGCCCAGAAAACCAGATAGGAGAAGTCGCTCGCTCTCCAAGATACTCTGTAGTAATGAGACATTTCTAGCCAGAAAGCACTAGTTGTGTGCAACTTAAATAGGCTAAGGGAGCAGCCAATTATCCTCAAGCCCTACTCTCGAGTAGACCTCCTCCTCCTGAATAGCCACTCCTGCCTTTTGGCAGCCCTGCGTGCTCGAGCATTGAGGAGAGGCTCCTCCACTTCGCTCTCTCCACTGGAAGGAGCCTCTGGAGGTTCTGAAGGCCCTGGCTGAGTCTCTGCCTCTGGCATCACATCCTCTTCGGCCTCCTCGCTGTCCGATGCGAACGCCGGCTGCGCCGGCTGCTGGCGCAACACCACACCATCCTCCTCGTCGTCGGGATCAGTCACGATCCATGCAGGCCGCTGGCGGGCCACAACAGGCAGTGGCCCATACCTCAATGAGGGTACTGGCTGGCATTCAGTTGTCCTGCACAATCACCCAGGACTAAGTCTCCCTAGTTGAATCGGCCATGATCATACGGCTGGGGGAGGATAGGGTACCTGTGGCAGGGATGGAATGCTGGCAGAGGGTCAGCTGAGAATGAATGCCCAAGCTAGGTTGGCTGCATTTGGGATGGGGGTTGAAGTGGGTGCGAAAATGTTGGCATGATCAATTGTCCCATTCCTGACATTTACTTGCAGGTTGAAAGATCAGCAGGGGGCGCAGTCGCACAAGAAAATGTGTGAAGTGTCTTGTGCAGAGAAATGGATGAGAGCACCTATTAAACCATCCTTTCTAGGCGAGGAAAGCTGTCAGATGTAAATGCCTTATTCTCCAATGTGTAAATAATGTATATATGGAACATCAGAGGTTAACTTATTCTTTGGACTTTAATGTATTCATAACTTACCACTCCCATTCCTAGCTCCACCCCTTGTATATATAAGGAGCCACCCTCACCATTCTCGTTGCTTCTACCTTGAATATTCAGTGAATATAGAATGCCTATCATAATTAAAAAGAAATATATTTAAAGCTCTAACTCCTATTATCTTTATTGAGTCTGATCCTGAAAATATTGCAACAAAAGCATTTAGCCTCATAATCCATTACTGTGCCGCCAACGGTTATTGTACTGATAGCTATAAATAGACATGTTTTTGCTATTCACAGATACACCAGGAAGTTGGAGGGACTGGAGGCATTTTTGTGTGTGCTGTTTTGTTTTAAAATGATGGATTTAAAAGCATCTTGTTTTCCACTCCTGTTTTTTGTACCAAACAATCTGATTAAGTGTTTGGAAGATCTCGGGACATGCAGTCTGTCTAAGCAATTGTTGATTCATTCTAGACTTGCTGCTGTAGAAGCATTTTTGATTATTTGCTGATAGCTGTGCCCTATGGGATATCTGATACCACCAGCAGTTCTGGGACAGATTCAAAAACATTGTCCCGCCT